CTGGAGCCCCCAGCCGTAGAGGTGAATCGCTCATATTGCTGATACTATGCCCAACTGCCTTGTTTCTAACAAGTTGAAAGCAGAAAGACCAGACCTTTACAATGATGCTATTCTGGTATCTCTCTCTCTCTCTCTCATCTTTCTCTTTATCCCTCCGCTGTTTATAACCCCCTCTGCCGAGCAACATGAGGCAAATTTCATCAAGCCAAACTAGAATTTTTCTCTGAGACATCACCATTTGCTTTCACAAAAGCTTTGTTCTCTGATATCCATGGAGTGTTTTATTGCTTTTGATACTGCTGTCTGCAATCTGTCAAAGTCTTCCATCAAAAATGTTTATCCTACAGTTGTGAAGTCCTGCTATCTTATCTGAAAGTCCTCCTGACTTTTGTCCTCTTGGTGTGCAGGCAGAGAAATTGATTAAAGGTCCTTAAGGCAAGTACAGTAGTCAAATCCTTTCTGTAGCAGGGACAATACAGTATATATATTAGATCCTTTTTCTAAACACCACCTACCAATTACAGAGTGGGCTCCGCCATTTTTGTATGAATGATTCCACACTTACCAGACCGCTGATGGTTGGACCAGTCATCAACACAACATGGTGTTACCTGTTCAGAAATTAGACAAGGGAAGAGCAACTTCAGGTAACTGATCCATATGTACATAGGGGTTCAAAGAGAACTAAATTGATAATAAAGTTCTGGGTTCCATCATCAGTCCGTACATTAAGTTACATAGTGTTTTATCTCTTTACACACCAATGTTCTTGTATATAAAATGAGACTGAACTAGATTTTACCAAAGATCCCTTGCTTTAGTTTCTATGAGTCTATTTTTGGTTATGTTTATTGTTTTTTTTTTGTACTGAATTGTAGTCAGTTTACAATGTGTCAGTTTCTGGCATACAGCATAACGTTTCAGTCATACATACATATATAAATTAACTTTCATTTCATTTCTCATTATAGGTTACTGGATACCGGGATGGGGGAGGGGTTGGGAAAGGATAAATTGGGAGTTTAAGTTTTGCAAAATACTTAATATAAAATAAATAAATAAGTTTCCTCTATATAGCACAGGGAACTATGTTTATTGGTTTTAGATTATTTTTTCTAGATAAATCTAGACTGGGAACTCCTTCCCTCTGCTCCCATGGTACATTTTATATAGCTCTAACACATCTATTGCCACACAGTGTTGTAATTATCTATTTGCTTGTGAAATGACACCATTAACCTATGAGTTCACTGAGACCGAGGACTTTGGAGACTAACACATAGAGGAATATTATTTTTGAGTAAATAATTAATCTCTTAGTGATTATATATGCAAAAAGGTTTGGCTCCTAAACATAATTTACATCAGAATTACAGATAATTCTGTTTTGACCAGAATTCTCTCTTGTCTCTGGAATGTCTGCAATGTGCAGCAAGACTACAAGAACTTTACCAAAAGCAGATGTTGTGAAGTTGGATGAAGCCATCATTCAGACATGTGGAATGTCCAAAACTCGGTCACTTTTTGGCAACTTGAGACCGTATGTCTGCTCTGATATCTCGATTCAGAGACTTAGACTATTTTCAGCAGGGATGTGTTGTAAATACTTTATTTAAATCTCAAAATTACAAAGAATATTTAAACTTATATTTGGGGTATTACTCTATTTTTAGCTCTTATCAGATTGGCAAATAGTGTGTATTAGGTCATATTAAGCTTTATGTAAAATCATGAAAGATATTTTATAAGTTTAATGTGGGTATCATATATTTTTGGACAGTAAGCTACATTAATTTGGGGGTCATTGTCATTTGTGTTTTCAAGTCATATCTGAAGCCATACTTTTAAATTTCAACTGGGGCCAATGTAGACAAATTAAAAAACATAATGTGGTTTTCTTAGTTACCGCATTTTTCTTAAACAGTTATTTTCATAAATTAGTGGTAGTCACAACTAAATGAATATAACTGTTTAAGCAAAATGCTGTCAAATCAATACTTCACGATTACATTTGGGAAAATATCAGAATTAAAAAAAATATTCCCAGTTTTTATATATATTTCATCAAATAAATATTCTATTACAACAGAAGGGCAGACAAGTAATCATTCTAAAATCCTGAAGAAACACAATCAAATTTGTAACTAGAGACATAACAGGCAGCAAATCCACCCACTTGGAGGTAGCAGGAATGTCCACCAGTCATTGAGACATCTCACAACCAAGGAAATAGATGGGTGAGTAATGAAAGGCTTGGAAAATGACAACAGTGAGGACAAACCCATGGGCACACCTCCACGAGAGAAGACTAAGGTCAGGAAATTTTGTGAAGCTGTGGGGAGACTTGGAGACGTGTTGGAAAAAGTAGTAAGGACTTAAAATACGTTCTTGAGAAAATGATCAAGATTCATGCAAAAGTTGAAGGGAAAATTGTGCTGAGACCTAGGGTCAGGCAATGGAGCCATGCTGCTTTGAAGGTAATGAAACAATGTATTAATGTTCACCTTCCTCAGTATTCATAGTATGTACAGTTATTATAGCATCCCTGCAGTACATTGAGAGGAGACACTGTAGCAAGAAGTGAAGGAAGACATACTTACATTCTAGAGTCACATCGGTTCTGATTACTTGACAAGAACTACTTTGTCTTCAATTAACCATGCACATTAAATATTGTCAAAAGCAAGAAATAAAATTTGCAATGTTAAGTTTTAGTCTTTCATTTTGTTCAAGAATTATCTTTAACAACATCAACAAAAACGTCCTTCCTTATTTAAAAAAAAAACAACTTGTATTCATCTAATACATCATCTAATCTGTCCCATATGTCATGTCATTCTTCTTTGGCGATAGAAGAAAATATGTTGAAAGTAGTCACCCATCTTTCTACTCATGGTGGTTAATTTTGTTACATATAAGCTGCCCTGTGTTTAATTTCTGAAAATTCAGCTGAAAGATATGCATAAAACTTTGTATGATCATGATCACTAAGTCACTCATGGTCAATAACAATTACATGACACTTTTTATATTGATTTTCTATTATATAAATACTCCTTCCTTGATTCACTCTCATATTACCTCTGAGAAGTCCAATAGGCATCTATCTCTCAGAAATTAAGCAAAGCAAGAAGAAAGTTGAATTCATCATTTATTTTAGTCAACTTGGGCTACTATAATAAACATGACATATTGGGTGGCTTAAACTACAGAAATTTATTTCTCACAGTTCTGGATCAAGGTGCCTCCTGCTTCAGTTCTTGATGAGAACCATCCTCCTGGATTGCAGGTAGCCTTCTCATTTGGTCCTCCAATGGCCGAGACTGGGCCCTCTCTCTCTCATCTTCTAAAGATACTATTTGCATCTAGGGGCCTCCATCCTCATGACTTTATCTAAACCCATTTAAATCCAAAAGCCTCAGCTCCTCCTAATACCATCCCCTTGGGTGTTAAGGTTTCAACATATAGATTGGGATGGGGGTCAGAGGGGACACAAACATGTAGTCTATAACATTATGAGGCCACAAAACTGTCAAACTAAAAAAAAAAAAATTCTTCTTTCTTACATATACAAATATTTGATGTGTGTTATAAAGAGGTGGTATATTTAAAAATCACTGTTTTATGCACAACAGGAAAATATACCAGGAGTGATGTATTTCATTTCCAGGTGAAGAATTTAAGAAATAAGTGTGTCTCCTCACCCTCAACCATGCTCACACTCTCCTTTCTGTGTCTGGAAGCAAATAATGGCATGTCTCTAGGGGAACAGAGAAGCCAAAATATGGAAAAACTGGGCAACTGAACCACCATATGGAGACAAACCATCTGCTAAGATCACCCTCTGTGAATTGGTACGTGAGCAAGAAACAAACTTTAATTGCAATTGAAGTGTTACCACCCATACTGGGTTATTTTGTAATGCAGTCTTATGCTAACTGCTTCTTTCTCTTTCTCCATTTTCTAACACTTTTTTTCATATTCTTTATTTTTTTTTTGCTTTGATTACATAAAATACGATTTCTCTTGGATATTGTACATGATATTAGAGTTCTCCTTGTGTAAATTTTAGGCAACAATGTTGATATAGTGCTAATTAATCCTCTTAAGGTGGAAACAAGTCTCAATTTTTAAGCAGATTTTTTTTTCTGAAAAATTCTGAGTCAATGACTAAATAAATATTTGAAAGTTATATTTAATGTTACAAATGCTAGAACAATAAACACTTGTATGGAGACTAGAATTTTGATACATCAATCCTTGCTGTCATTTAAGATTATTTAAGTATAGTTAACTCCAAAAGGATATTTTTCTTCCCAAGATTATTTTGCTGGGGGTAACTTCTTGGTATTTACAGTATTTACCAAACTATTTATCTATTTAACCACTTTTGCAGTAAATCAATTATCTTCAATTTTTGGAACACTTAATTTTTTCATTGAAAAACACACACTTAGGTTTCAACTGATATCATTTTGGCAAAGATGCTCCAAAAAAAATTTACTCCTAGTCATATCAGAATGCTAAAATATACTTGAATGTAACTATTCAAATATTAACTCTAAATCCAAATGTGTGGCTTTGATTGTATTTGATGTGTGGGGGTTGATAATTATGAGCTTAAAAATGGAACCACAGCATTATTGAACATGTACAAGTTCAGGTATGACAGAAATGACACTGATGTGAGTATTTGACAGTTTCTTGGTCTAAAGCCTGAAGCCAGCACTGAGCAGCAGATTTCTGCCAAATACTAAAGCTGAAGCTTAATGTGTTAGTATATTATTACTGCTCGCACAATATTTTATGACTTCACACCTGACTGCTTTCGCATATACGGCCTCCTCTCCATTTGTTTCATCATTATCTCATCTATCTGATGAACCTATCTTTCCAGATCCAGATAAAGCAGCTCCTCTTTTCAAGAAATCCATCTTGACCCTTATTTTCTTGACCTCTCAACCTCTATAATCTTATGTATCACAATTTAATTATTTGATTGTGTGTGTGTATGTGTGTGTGTGTATGCTATAGTAGGTTAGTAAATGTTTGTTGAATAATGTTGAAATAGTGTCTTTTTATAGAGTTTGATTATAAAGAATTAAAAAAAATGTTTGCAGGCTTCTGGTCAAACAGGAAAAAAGAGTCCATCTATTGTCATTCCTCAGTCACTAGTTTGGAATAAACTGTCTGACTATGTGCCTACTTACCACAGTGAGGATAACCTGATTGCTTCGAATGAGCAGGGGAATGATGAATTTATTGGAGGTCAGAGGTATTTATTGGGTTTCTGGAAAACAGAAAGTATGAGGGAGAATATTCTCAGATAAAAGAGGGCTGAGGAAGCCCTGCAGCGCGGGGAAGATCCCTGTGGAGGAGTTGGGAGTGTTTCCTTAGCACAGATGTCAAAGTCCCCAGCAGCAGAACTGGCTGCTGCACAGAGTGGGAGCAGATGTTTGAACACAAAGCAGGGACATTCCCCGAGGAGCTGACAATGGCTCAGTTTGGGGACAGTTCTCCATACTGAGTACCCCTTTACTCCACCCCTGAGAGTCCAGATCACCCATCATTTAAGCCCCAGGGGCTGGGATAAAGACAGACCACTGTAAAAATAACAAAAATCTTTGATCGTTCTAGCAGTATTTGGGGCTTCTCCAGTTGTTTTGCCTCATTCTAGCATTAGGAAAAGGCCTTCACTGTTTTCAACCCTCACAGACTACAGTGATGTTTGACAGCCACCACCTCCTGTTCAGTAATAGTTCTGCTTGCAACTGGCTCTCCCATTAAAGACAAGAGGCCAACTGGGGAAATGGTCTTGACCATATAGCAGCAGAGGATACTCAGTACTAGTTTAATCAGCCAGGGCTGTCATACATATACACAAAAAGACATCCAAGGAGCAACACTCTTTTAAAGAAAATTCAGAGCACAGAAGAAAAAGACCAAGACTGGCAAAAAGGACAACAGAAAACAGAGGAAAACAGGGCAAAAAGTAGGCTAAAATTTTAAAATATGTTCTAATCAATATCTTCAGAGGAATATATTACATCAATAAAACAAGAAGTCAACAGATAAGAAAGAGAAGCAATTAGAGATTTAAAAATATTCTGATCGGCAAAATTACAGGAAAAAAATAGATACGCTAAAAATACAATTGAAGCACTCTCTGGAAAGTTAAAAGAAACAATAAGGTAGTTAAAATTCATAGGGGTTCAAAAAAGAGGAAAAAGAAAATAAAGGAAAGAAAATAATGAAAGAAAATGTTACAAAGCTGAAGTAAGTCAAACATCTTCAGATCCAAAAGACCCATTGAACAGCAAACAAAATGAATGCAGACAGACCTACACATAGAGTTTTATAAGCTGAGACCATGTAGAGTGAAATCTTGAAGAAAAACATTGAAACTGTTCACCTACAAAGGAAATAAAACAATTGACACAATCAGATCTTTGTGTTTTAAACCGGATCCTAGAGAAAACTGGAAAAAGGGAAAATTACTTTGAAACAAAATAATTTTTTTTTACATTTTTATTGATTCATAATCATTTTACAGTGTTGTGTCAAATTCCAGTGTTCAGAACAATTTTTCAGTCATACATGGACATATACACACTCATTGTCACAAAATAATTTTGAATCAAGGGAAATAATCTACTTTGAAAATAAAAAAAAGAGTTTAAGTAGGGATAGACCAAAAAATTTATTTGAATAACATGTTTGTCCTTTAAGTCATGTTCTTCTAATGTGTATTTTTCTTCCTATACTTAAAAAGTGTCATTTGTATGGAACCATTTCTACATCTGTTTGTGTCAACTATTTTCTCAACACAATTTTTGTCCCTTCTACTAGGTATTTGGGGCATAGAATGATTTCAGAGGTCAATAAATAATTTGCTGGGATAAGTAAACACTTAATTCTGCTGATTTCCAAGTGCGAGCAAACAGTAAAATCAACAAATCAAAAAGAAATATTTTATCGAGCTGCCACCAAGGACCAGGCATTTTACTGATGTTTCCCTTACTTTGTATGACAATCCTGTCGAAGATATGAGACTTTTGCCATTGACAGATGACAAGACCAAGATTCCGGGACTCTCAGAGATTTCACAAGGCTCTGTTGGGCATGTCTTATTTTTCCCTACTGCCCATGATGCACGTTTTGAATTTAGGGTTCCCAACTGGGATTTGAAATTTGGAGGATTGATTAATGAAAAATTCAGTCTCGTTGTGGGAACATTTTTCTTTTTTTCACAATCTGGACTGAATTAAACTAAAGGCGACACAACTTGCAGCATGTGTTTTCTTCAGATCATATGTGAAACCTGGAAAAGAAATCCCAGCCATCCCACATGCGTTGGAGGAATAAATGCTCGTGCCACCCAGCCCCATTCTGCATGTGTCACAATACGTTTTTAATAGATGCGGCATCTTGAGAGATTTCAGCTGAAGTTGCTGATAGAGAATTTGCATGGGTTAGATGCCAAGTTCCACTTTGTTGTCATACTTTACGGTTTGCATTTGAGGTTGTCTAAACTATTAAAACAAGGCTATCATGCCGATTGGAGTATATTCAAGAAATCTACTCAGAGAGCATCCACATTAAAAATCAGAAGCCAGCTGAAAAAATAAGATGGTTTTTCACTGCTATATTTGCATTGATGAAAGTGAATCTATGTCAAAATAACTGAAGAGTTTGAACCCTACCTAGCACTCATACTTCTCGAGACAGAATGAGCTACATAATTTGTAAAGCCCAGTGCAGAATAACAATGTAGGCTCCCTGTTTTGAAAATTATTCAGAATTTTAAGACAGTGACAATAGACCATTAACCAAATGTAGAAGCTTTCTAAGCAGGATGCTCCCGGTGGCTCATACGCCCATGAGATCAACCTGCCAGGTGGGAAGCCCCGGTGATGCCTGTGAAGGTGAACGGGATCAATGAAACAGGGCAGGCGGTCTACCAGGAAGTGAATTCCTGCTCTGGACCCTAAGCATCCCTGCCTTAATGCTATGCTTTACCCAGTCTTTCAACACTTACATTTCTGAGTGATCAGTCATTCAATCTACTTTAAACAATTCTTAATACAGTCAGCTTCCTTCCTGTATTAAGAATCGTCAATAATGTTTCCAGAATGTTCTCAGTTGGGATACCTGGTCCTACTTCATTCTTATTTGGCTTCTTCAAACTCCTTCTCTTGTGTAGCCTGGAAGTCACCATTTCATTTTGTTGTCAGCGACTCTATGAATGTACTGCTCTTCCTATTGCTTAGCTATAAAAAGGGCGCCAAATTATATACATGCATTGCTCCACAAACTTGGATCCACGTATTATTATTACTTCTTTTAAAGATATAAAAACTGCCAATTCCAGAGAGACCTACATCCTCCCAGTGGTAGAGCTGGATCTCAGCTTTTCCTGATATTCTTTGCTCCCTTAGTCCATTATTGCTTCGCGTGTGCAGACGTGGATACAGAGGCACTGTAAGCTGAGTCGCTTAGCAAAATCACACAGTGACTTTATGCAAGTGCCACCTGTGAGTCCTCCTTCCCCAACCTTGCTTGTCCATTCTAACTTCTCTTAGTGTAGGGCATGAATACTGGACTAAGATTTAGATGTAGAATTGTGTACCAAAAGGGCTGCTCCTAAAATTCTTTCTTTTTCTGCAATCCTGGTAAAAGATTTTTTCCAACCTCAAACCATTTTTCTTTGAAAGCACCTAAATGCGATATATTGCAACAATGCCGTGATTCTTTTGATAGGATTGACATGGAAGACAGGCCAGGTCCATGAAATGTTCTGGTGAATAAATCTGTTTCATTAATCTGATGATTTGAAATAATAATTACAGCCATTAATTCTTAGATAGCACTTCTGCATTCCAGGCACTATTCAAAATGCATCAGAGGAATATATCTGCTATTTCCCCCTGTTTACAGGGGAATAAACTGAGGCACAGGGAAATTAATTGATTTCCAGTGCTGATAATCTCATTGTTGCATTAATTCCTTATTGTGGATTTGTGAACTGTTGTAATATGACCGAAGTCTTCAATTCTTCTATAAATGCATTGTTTTTGCTCTTGGTTTGATTTAGAAGATCTCTGGGGTCCTTCCCATGCCTAAAATTATACAATGTTAGAGAAGAAAACATCAGTTGTAAAAGACACTCAAATAATTCCCATTAACTATCAACAGTGTAATTACATGTTATTTTTACATCGCTCCTACAGGTTTTGTACTCGAAAAAATTAAATGATTGCATACAAAACGAGGAAATTTAGTCCTCATTTAATCCTTAATGTGAATATAGGCACAATGATTTCATTATTCTGTATCTATTGATTGCTCTTGAAATGTCCTGCTTCTGTAATTAAGACATGCTGTAATCAGCCACATTCTAAATCCTTCCTTCAATAACCTTTTTGGCTTTATTTTTCAGTAGTCCTACATTAGATATAACAGTGCCTCACAAAATTTGAAGTTTTCAGGTAAAGCATAGTTTATTGGGGATGTTCTTGTTTAAAAAAAACCTGATTCAAAGTAAAATGTGTTTGATAATGTTCCCCTTAAGGGTAGATTTTATATTGCTTATTCATCCTTCAAAAACATTTTTCTGCTGGGTGACACTGCATATATTAAACAGTGCTGATTTATGTTATAATTAGTTATGTGGTGCAGTGTCTTAAAATAATTTCTCAAAAGAAAATTGCCTTTTCTTTTAGAGAAAAATTGGTTTAAATGTTTTTAATGCTTAAAACCATTTGGCTGAAAAAGTCTGTAATTAAAGGGCAAAATGCCACATGCATACAGCAAAGATATTGCTATGAAGTATGAGCCAATGTTTAAGTTCCCTGGAAAACATCTATATTAGAAAAAAATCAATAACTTTCCAAAACGTTTTTAAACCCCTAACAATGTTCTTTAGTCTTTTCAAGTTATCACCCCTAACAATATTCTTTAGTATTTTCAAGTTATCTGTTTCCTTATTTTGCTTCTAAAAATGATGTGCACATGTGTACAAACACATACACACAGATTAAATAATTAAAATACATATTTTCTGAGTCAAGTATCTGCCTTAGACTTTCACGTATTTGTAAAAATAAACCAAAGAATAACAACATTTTTTTGCTCTGCTAACAACCGTTTTAAGGAGAATAAAATACGAACTACAGACTGTGAGGAAATATTTGCAAATACAGATTGACAAGGTATTTCGATCCAGAATATATAAAGAACTCTCTAAATTCAATAGTAGGAAATGGGCAAAAAAATTGAAAAGACACTTTATCATAGAAGATACATGATGACAAATAAGCACTTGAAAATGTGTTCATTATTAACCATTCCAGAAATACAAATTAAAGACACAAAAGAACCTCATGCATATAAGCTAGCCGAAATAAAAATCACAGATAATATCAACTGCTAATGAAGATGTGTGACTGTCATACATCGCTGGTGGGAATGCAAAATGGAACAGTTATTTGGCAGTTTCTTAAAAAGCTGAATGTGTAATTTAATAGGAAGAATGCAAGACATTTTCTTATAAAGCTAACATACAACCTAGCAATGACACATCAAGAGAAGTGAAAATTTATGTCCTCACAAACCCTGGGCATGGATATTCTTTGCAGTTTTATTTGCAATAGACCCAACCTGGAAAACACCAAAACTAACATCTTTCAGTGGGTGAATGGTGAAATAAACTGTGGTACAACCATGTAGGGGAAAAGAATTCAGCAAAAAAAAAATCAATCAACTATTAAAATAGACAACTTGTTTAGATTTTAAAGATATTTTACTGAAGAAAAGAAGCCAGTTTCAAAAGGTTACGTACTATATGATTCCATTTATATAACAGTCTTGAAATAAAATTTTAGTGATGGAGAATAGATCAGTGGTTAGCAGGGTTAGGGAAAGTGTGGATGTTCTTACACAGTGATGCCGTGAAAGGGTTCTTTTGTGAATGGAATCAATATCCTGGTTGAGGGGTGGTTATACAAATCCACACATACAATAAAATTTCACAGATTTATACACCAAAAAATTTTTTATTTAAAAGCTGGTAAAATCAAAATAAGGTCTCTTTGTAATGTAGTCAATAGTATTGCACTAATGTCAGTTTCCTGCTTCTGGGAATGTACTATGGATTTGTAAGATATTATTGGGAGAACCTGGATGAAGGTGTACAGGAACTCGCAGTTGTGTTTATGCAATCTTTTTAGGGCTACAATTATTTTTAAATGCATATTTTAAAAATAAATAAACAGAATATTTGTAAGTAGATAGACTAGTAATGGATATATTATGCATTTTAAATTACACATTACAACCTATTACCTACATAATAGGTTTTAAAACAGGTTACAGTAGCTTGCCAATGTTGTCTTTAATGCCTAATTATTTTCTCTGTGCAAAATATACTTAAATAACTTCCTAAGCAATACACACTCTTTAAAACAAATGTGTATATGACTTAGAAGATATATATGTGTCATCATTTTAGGAAGAACTTTTAGATTTAGAATTTAGTAGTTATTTTAATTCAACTGAAAGAAAATTACATATGGAATGGAAAAAAACCATTGTTTTTTAATTATTTTAAAGCTGTCTTATTTTATATTGATGAAATATATTTCTAGCTAACTTTTGTCACATAAATAGATTCATCTTATAGAAAAAGGTAACTATACATTATAATAAAAGATGTGATTTACTAATTTGACCACTATTCATTTTGTTTCATTTGTGGTAGAGGGAAAATTTCCCTCATACATCTCTGTTTAACTTTTCCCTAACTGATTTCATGGGTCATATTTCTGAAATGTAACAGAGAAGCAGATAGATAGAGAAGTATTCATTTCTTCCCTAAGTTCTCTCATTTTTTTGAGACTTGATTTTCAGTAAAATGCATTGTGTTGAATGGCTTTTTTTGTGAAAATCTATTATAATACATTTTTTTCCAGACAGAATAATTACCTAACAACAAGCACAGCGTGTTACAGAAAACTCACTATTATCTTTTCTGAAAAGAAACAGAACTTTTCAGAAGAGAGAGGAAATAAATCAACAGAGCACACCAACCAGTATGTTTCAGGACAAAGGAAGTTTAATGAAAGAGACACCATGATGGCTGGTTTTTTGTTGTGTGGACTGATGATTACTGTTAGGATAAAAGAGCAAATCATTATTAGAAGTTTTAGGTAATTATTTCAATGTATTATTTCTTTTCATATTGAAGACCATATCTGACTTTGATGAGATTGTTTTTAAATGTGTGCTTCAAAAGACTGAGAATAAAGAGTGGAAAAAAAATCAGAACATGATGACAGAAGATACCTTCCAAGTACTTTTAAGACGTTAGATTTAAGTAGTAAATTTATGGCAATAAAAAAATTCTTGATTTAGACAATATAAGCTATAGCTTATGAAAGAAATAGTTGCTATATTTTTGAACAAAATATTTTAAAGCATTTTTTCAGCAAACACTTATTGCTTCTCAGGTATTTTGCTGGACACTTGATACTGAAACATGAGTAAACATGGCTCCTTTCTTACATAAAAATATATTTAAATGGACAGAAAGATAATACAGTGAACACATTGTAGTAGATTGATTTTTGTCCCCTAAAAAAGATATGTCTAACTCCTAACTCTTGGTTTCTGTGAATATAAACTTATTTTCAAAGAGTCTCTGCAGATGTAATTAATTTAATGAGCTGAAGATGACATCTCACTGGATTTAGAGTGAGTCCAGAACTCAAAGACTGGTGTTACCCTAAGAAGAGGAAAGGTCACAGAGACACATACAGGGGAAAAGGCCATGTGAGATGTAGGCTGGAAAGCTCTACTTCACATCTTTTTCATCCTGGGACAAGCAAACATGTTCTCCCGGGAAATTCAGATGTACAAGAGTGCAAATAAAAACATGCGAATCCTTTCAGGGACTAAG